GAAAAAACCCTCTGGTCTGACAGATCCAGCCTTGATAACACTCTCTAAACCTTACTCTTTCTCTCCTCATCCTCTTCCTCCTCATCCTCCACTTCTTACATGTACTCTTCCTCCTCTCCTTCTCAGATTGTTTCCATCTATTGTTCGTATCATCATTCAGTCACTTGTGCCACTTGTGCACTCTGAGCTGGCTCATATTTTGTACAGTTGGTTTGATCACATCATTAGAAACAAGTGTGAACAATTTTGAATCGTTGCATGTAAATGATGACAACTGTGCTTTAGTTGTTTAACTTTTGCCGCTTGTGTTTAGCATTTTGCAGCAGAAATGCATCACAGTGTGATAAGTGTTTAAGTGAATGAGAATGTGTTTAGAGTTTTGCAAAAAGAGTGCATGAGATTTGCAAATAGAACCTAACTGCCTGAATGTGTTTAAGGATTAGCAGAAAGAGTGCTTTATTCGACAAATTGGTTTAAGCTAGTGAGAATTTGGTTCAGAGAATGGGGTTTAGTGTTTTAGCAATTCAGAAAAACTGTAATTAGCATTGGAATGGCCATAGTTATACACTGGTACAAATCACTCTTTTTTGGAGACACATTAGTGAGAATGTTCCTACTGTAGTAATGAAACCACTGTGTCAGATAACAGCTATTTCCTGTCTCTTATCATCTCATTCTGTTTGGCACCTCTTTCCCTTTACACTAGTAACTGACAAATGTTCTGGAAAGATTTCAACATTTTTAAGAGGTTTGTCACCAGAAGAACTAAAATGGTCAGGTAAACGCTCACGTTTTAAATACATTTCTGAAATAGCACATGCAAACAGGCGGACACACACACACACACACACACACATACACTTGGCACTCCAAGAAGTTTCAAGCTTACTCCTCTGAAAATAAGGACATTTCTAGTAACACACTAGACTAATGAAAACTGTGACATTACTCATCCTTGTGTTTTTCTTCATCTGTATGACATACTTTCCTGGAAGAAGAAATATTGAGGAGTATTTCATGTTTTTTTTTCATGCAATTTCAATCAAGAAGGTCTGAAGCTTTCATGGTTCAAAAAAAGGACGCCAAAGCATCATAAAAAAGTATCATAAATGCAATGTTTGATTCATAAACAAATCATTCTTTTGAATTAGAGCTGTTCAGGACTGATCCAGTTCACACATCTGGTCTGAGTGATTTGTTTCAGGTTTGCCTCCCCGTCCTCAAGAGACTTTGGCTACACCCAAAATCGCACACGGAGTAGTTACTACTTTCGAATAAATAACTACTTAGGGACTGTGAAAAAAGTATGTTCTGTACAGTGCGAAAAGATTCCAGATGCACTACATTTGTCAAGTGTGCAACTTCTCTCCAGTTGCTTCATGGGATAGTAAAGAGTAGCCTACTGTGTCCATTTTCGGTTACTATGCAGTTTTAGATGCAGCCTTTGAATATACAGCAGAAAAGTGAATTTGAACCATGTTTGTGATACTTTCATGATGCTTGTGCATCTTTTTGAAAGCTTCCGTCCATATTCATTGCAATTGCAAAGAGCAACTAGCAAAGCCTTCATTTATCCTTTTGTGTTCCACCGAAGAAAGTCACTCATACCGGTTTGGAATGACATGAGATGATTTACAACTTAAGTTGCTAAGACACGTCTCACTATCATTTCCTCTGCAAAACTCTTCCTTAAGCAAGTAAACCGATGGACTCATATTTGAAGCATTTTTTAGAACCTACTCAAGTTACACAAATACAAATCAGCTAAAGTTATATTAAATCAGCATTCAACTACTCAAAATTAATAGTATTAATACTACACAATATTTTCTCAAAGTCAGAAACAGATTTGTTAATAAAATGCATCATGACGCAGTGGAATCCAAAGTCATTTTATTACAAATTATTACGTTTTATATACACATTATATACATAAAACATGTACAGAGCAAGGCACAAAATGTGCAACATTTTATGAAGACAAATACCGCGGTTCTCTCCATTCTTCTGACCTTAAATAATACTGTGAATTCACATTAAAAACCTTCTTCCTGTTGAAATCCACAGACACATACACGCGTAAAAGTGGTCACCAGGTAACTTGGGAGAGAATTAATTTATGCCTTGGTACAAGGTGTGCATTAGGTTGATAAATAAGCTTGGTTTTACAGTGCTTTTTTTTTCTTCATAAATTAAAAACGTACAAAAATATATATAACGAGTATTGCGTTGTTAAGGAAAAGTCTGAGATCCACAAAACGGACATGTTGAACGCAACAGTAGAAAACATACAAATAGTATCAAAAGAATCTCAAACAATTCAGAACTTCCCAACGGTAGACAAAAATGCCCTGAGCAAGTCCAGTAACCAGTCATCATCACCTATCCGAGCTGGCCATTTGAGCAGCACAAGTTGTGTTCTACCCACCCAAACAAATATGGTGCATTATCCCACCAAATGTGTACCAAAACAAATAAAAGTGCTCAGGCCCTTCGCCGCCTTGGGTCCCTAGCTAACAGCGCTTCCTCTCAGTAGTGCAATCTGCAAAGAAATAAACAAAAAGGCAAATAAATAAATGAACAGCACAATAGATAAAATGCATAAATAGTAGGTACACATACATACCGCTTTCTAGGTTTCACTTCCCAGCCATCACGGCATTTAAGAAATGTAACTTCTTGCCCAGGCGATATCTCAGTCTTTGCAGCACAGAAGGTGAACCTGTGAATTAAATATTGTGACATTAACAATCAGTTCATTCACAACCAATAAGTGCCAAGGCAGCACTTACTTCTTCTGCGTTTCTCCTGCTTTGACTCGGATCCTTCGAACCTCCAGAACTTTTTTGTTCTGTGAACTTGACCATGACCAGAATGATGACTTGAGGTGTTTCAACACAGATGACCAGGAATCAGAAGGGCCTTCCCAGCGAAGAGAAATCTTCAGCAGATCACCAATGTCCTCTTCCGTGAAGACGAGAAATGTGTTTGTGAGGTTTAGACCAACTCCATCAGCACTGTGAAAACAGAGAAGCCGGGTCAGGTCTTCAAAAATGTATTTTAATCCTTAAAAGAACCCATACAAACGATGTTTAGCAGTAAACAGGAGAATGTACTGGAAATCTTAATCGTGAAGTGCTTACATTTCTACACTGAGGTTATCGGTATCATCATGGGACCCATATAGTTTGACGTAGAAAGTAGGATCTGCATCATCTGCGCTCTTCCTGTCGAACACATGCATCTTCATCTGATAGTGGTAACCTGGAGAGGATTGAGCAAACAACCACATTTTAGTGACTCATCATGACAGCATGTGCCTCCGAAACAAAAGAGGCTATAATTACTTACCGCCAAAAGGTGTGTCTGCGCGAGTCTTCAGGTACATTTTGCTGAAGTTTCTCCTCTTGCGCATTTTCTTGGCGTTGTAACCGATGCTGTTGCAGCGGTTCTTCCTGCAGCTCAAGCAAATGCCCTTCTTGAAACGATCAGGGCCGGTACATTGAAAAGCGTAGCTCATGTGGTCCTTGTTCATGAGGGAGTCCACGAAGAGATGCACTGCCCGCTCATGTTCACACTTCATGACTTCCACAAAGTCTGTGTGGTGACATGACAGATTTGGTAAAATGGAAGAGTTGGAATTTGGTAAAACAATAAAAAAAAATAAAATGGAAGCACTCACTTCCTGCAGCAGCAGTGGACAGCACATCTCCTAAGGAACAGCCTGGCTGTACATCCCCACCATTCGGATAAATATCAATGTGCCCAATAGGTTCCTGGATCCCAATACTGACGCCCAAAGCTCCCCGTGTGTATGTGTGCAGGACGTCAACAAAGCTCGCATCATCTGGAGAAAGCCTCTTGTGGGACTCTGCCCCCTCGAACATGGGGCCAGCTGGGTCTAAACCTATTCAAAAAGAACAGATGTTTAGAGTTGGCCTTCATGTGTGCAAAAAGACGGAGCAATTTCTTTGTTGCTTTGTTTCAACAATCAAAGTGTCCAACATAAATCTAAATCTCACCTGTTATACGTCCAATTCCTTTTACAAAGGTTCCAGCATATCCAGCAACATGAGCACCAAGACTGTATCCAATCATATGCACATCCTCAAGTTGTAGCTGCACTTCTTCCTATCAAAAACAGACACGCATTAGATTAATAATACTGTCAATCTGAGGGGAATAGCGCTAATAAATTATTATTAAATACTGAATGGGAAAAGTATTTATTCGTTCATTCATGCTATGTCTATTTAAATTCAAAATGTAAAATGATTATTTATCCAGGAGATCTATTTGGTAGATCCTGCAAATCATATGATAATGATACTCCTCCTACTACTACTACTAATAATTATTATATAAACATTAATAATAAAGTTAATCAATGGTATCAAATATTTTTCTATTTTTTATTTATTTGTGAGCTGAGTCCAACTAAACATCTGACTTAATTCAAAAGATGAAATGTGAAAAGAAACTACTATTCATCTGAGGAGGAGAGCTCTAAACTTATTTTTATATCCCTGATGAGAGCAGCTTTGCGATGTAAAAAATGTCATTATGCTTCATGCACATCGTTGCTGTAACATGCTCAGTGCCAGCCGGGGCATCCGTGTGCGAATGTGGGGGACTAATATGCTCAGCTGCTCATTTACACTGCTTGCATCTTTCCTGTATAAAAAGACCTTCAGGGTCTAAGGAACCCAGCTACGATGCATGAATATTTATTGTTCCATGAGAATACCCACAATGCCTTGGGCAAACTCCTGACATCTCAAACAACAAAAAAACATAAACAAATTGTACTTCGCCAGGACATCTGCTGTACTGAGAAAAGATGAATAACACCAACAAAGAACCAATGTCCAAGGCCACAAGCAGAGTTTTCACGGTTGCCAACGCCCACAAAGAGAAACAAGCACACCCAGTGGAATGTATAATGTAGACGTACCTGGAGCCAGTCCAAAAGGGTTGCAATGCTCTGCCCAACCCGGTGGGTATGGTTGACGGCATCAGGGTAAAGCTGGTGGGCCAGGCCCAGCCAGTCGACCACCACCACATTAGCCTCCGACTCTCGTCTCTGAACAGCAGCCACCAGCTTGTGCATCCAGCTCTCAAACATCCCACTCATCTGTGAAAGATATCACACCCTTTACCAAACCCAACCAGCAAAGTTCCAGCAATCATGTGTGAAACCCTAATATTTGCTGCACATCCGAGAAGTGAAAGTATTGGCACACTGAAGAAAGAACATTTCAGTTGTTTTACACTATTTCTGGATAACTTCCAGCATTGCATCAAAGATAAAATGTGAGGAAACTTCTGAAGATTCAAAGGCTATGGGTGTTGAAATCTTTAAAAGTCGAACCAAATATTAAAACTAGCCACATGATCATCTGGAATATCTCACCGTCCAGCCGTGGATGATCAGAATGGTCTTGACTGTGGTATTGAAGCCACACTCCTCAATGCTTTCCTTTTTCCCAGGTTGGAGGTAACAGCCGTCGTCATCAAGATCCAAAGACTTTCGCATGTTGTACTTGATTCGGTCATGAAGTAGCACTGGATCCATTGAGAAGCTGTCCTCGGCATCATCTAGAATAAATAGCAAAACCATGAATACGCTTATGTAAATCCCAAACTCTACATATAATATTGGTAAGACCAGGTGCTTGAGGCATTTCAAAGCGCTTAACTGTTTCATAAGGTTTTGAGGTTGAGTTTATTCATGGTAAGCCTTGTGACAACATCTCGTTTTAACGACTAGCTTGAACAATTGAGCTACTGTAGAGAGGGAAAGATGCAGAACACTTTTTCTAATGAACCAGTTAAACATTACAGGAATGCCAAACAGTCTTAATTTGAGTTTACAAACAGTCTGCACACTTTGAAGTGGAAGAAACCTGCGACTTTTCAACCCAAGTAAGGAAAAACTCAGTAGCATGCAACACCGGGAGTTTAACCAATTAGAAAAGGAGAAATCAAATAAAAACCATCCTGAGAAATTTTAGGTCTTTGTAAAAAGTACTTACAGGATTAATGCATACAGACATGGTCTTATGTTTTTAGAGTTGTTTTATGTATTTGCTCGATAGTTTATTTCAATTTTGTTTGTTTTCGATTAAAATGTTTGCCGTTTAATATGTTTCACTTACATCACGTGGCGGGTGATGGAAAAATATATATTTGATTACCAATGAAAATTAATGTGTAAATGAGCATGTTTCAACTGAAGATTTCGATTTCTAAACTAATTAGGAACAAATATACACTACCGTTCAAAAGTTTGGGATCAGAACGATTTTTTACATGCTATGTCTATTTAAATTCAAAATGTAAAATGATTATTTATCCAGGAGATCTATTTGGTAGATCCTGCAAATCATATGATAATGATACTCCTCCTACTACTACTACTAATAATTATTATATAAACATTAATAATAAAGTTAATCAATGGTATCAAATATTTTTCTATTTTTTATTTATTTGTGAGCTGAGTCCAACTAAACATCTGACTTAATTCAAAAGATGAAATGTGAAAAGAAACTACTATTCATCTGAGGAGGAGAGCTCTAAACTTATTTTTATATCCCTGATGAGAGCAGCTTTGCGATGTAAAAAATGTCATTATGCTTCATGCACATCGTTGCTGTAACATGCTCAGTGCCAGCCGGGGCATCCGTGTGCGAATGTGGGGGACTAATATGCTCAGCTGCTCATTTACACTGCTTGCATCTTTCCTGTATAAAAAGACCTTCAGGGTCTAAGGAACCCAGCTACGATGCATGAATATTTATTGTTCCATGAGAATACCCACAATGCCTTGGGCAAACTCCTGACATCTCAAACAACAAAAAAACATAAACAAATTGTACTTCGCCAGGACATCTGCTGTACTGAGAAAAGATGAATAACACCAACAAAGAACCAATGTCCAAGGCCACAAGCAGAGTTTTCACGGTTGCCAACGCCCACAAAGAGAAACAAGCACACCCAGTGGAATGTATAATGTAGACGTACCTGGAGCCAGTCCAAAAGGGTTGCAATGCTCTGCCCAACCCGGTGGGTATGGTTGACGGCATCAGGGTAAAGCTGGTGGGCCAGGCCCAGCCAGTCGACCACCACCACATTAGCCTCCGACTCTCGTCTCTGAACAGCAGCCACCAGCTTGTGCATCCAGCTCTCAAACATCCCACTCATCTGTGAAAGATATCACACCCTTTACCAAACCCAACCAGCAAAGTTCCAGCAATCATGTGTGAAACCCTAATATTTGCTGCACATCCGAGAAGTGAAAGTATTGGCACACTGAAGAAAGAACATTTCAGTTGTTTTACACTATTTCTGGATAACTTCCAGCATTGCATCAAAGATAAAATGTGAGGAAACTTCTGAAGATTCAAAGGCTATGGGTGTTGAAATCTTTAAAAGTCGAACCAAATATTAAAACTAGCCACATGATCATCTGGAATATCTCACCGTCCAGCCGTGGATGATCAGAATGGTCTTGACTGTGGTATTGAAGCCACACTCCTCAATGCTTTCCTTTTTCCCAGGTTGGAGGTAACAGCCGTCGTCATCAAGATCCAAAGACTTTCGCATGTTGTACTTGATTCGGTCATGAAGTAGCACTGGATCCATTGAGAAGCTGTCCTCGGCATCATCTAGAATAAATAGCAAAACCATGAATACGCTTATGTAAATCCCAAACTCTACATATAATATTGGTAAGACCAGGTGCTTGAGGCATTTCAAAGCGCTTAACTGTTTCATAAGGTTTTGAGGTTGAGTTTATTCATGGTAAGCCTTGTGACAACATCTCGTTTTAACGACTAGCTTGAACAATTGAGCTACTGTAGAGAGGGAAAGATGCAGAACACTTTTTCTAATGAACCAGTTAAACATTACAGGAATTCCAAACAGTCTTAATTTGAGTTTACAAACAGTCTGCACACTTTGAAGTGGAAGAAACCTGCGACTTTTCAACCCAAGTAAGGAAAAACTCAGTAGCATGCAACACCGGGAGTTTAACCAATTAGAAAAGGAGAAATCAAATAAAAACCATCCTGAGAAATTTTAGGTCTTTGTAAAAAGTACTTACAGGATTAATGCATACAGACATGGTCTTATGTTTTTAGAGTTGTTTTATGTATTTGCTCGATAGTTTATTTCAATTTTGTTTGTTTTCGATTAAAATGTTTGCCGTTTAATATGTTTCACTTACATCACGTGGCGGGTGATGGAAAAATATATATTTGATTACCAATGAAAATTAATGTGTAAATGAGCATGTTTCAACTGAAGATTTCGATTTCTAAACTAATTAGGAACAAATATACACTACCGTTCAAAAGTTTGGGATCAGAACGATTTTTTATGTTTTTACAGGAGTTTCTTATGCTCATCAAGGCTGCATTTATTTGATCAAAAATACAGGAAAAATGTAATATCGTGAAATATTATTATGATGTAAAATAAAATTTTTCTATTTTAATATACATTCATATCTAATTTATTCCTGTGATGCAAAGCTGAATTTTCAGCATCATTAATCCAGTCTTCAGTGTCACATGAAAAGTTAAAAAGAAGAGCATTTATTTAAAACAGAAATCTTTTCTAACAATATTCACTACCATTCAAAAGTTTGGGGTCAGTCCATTTTTATTCTTTCTTTTTTTGAAAGAAATTAAAACTTTTAGTCAGCAAGGATGTGTTAAATTGATAAGAAGTGATAGCGAAGATTTATATCATTAGAAAAGATTTATATTTTTAATAAATGCTTCTTTTTAACTTTTTATTCATCAAAGAATCCTGAAAAAAGTATCGCAGTTTCCAAAAAAATATTTGGCAGCACAACTGTTGCCAACATTGATAATTCTAATAATAAATCAGCACATTAGAATGATTTCTTACGGATGGCTGATGGAAATTCAGCTTTGCATCACAGAAATAAATTATATTTTAAAGGATATTAAAACAGAAACCATTAGTTTTATATTGTAATAACATTTTGCAAGATTACTGTTTTTTTTCCTGTATTTTTGATCAAATAAATGCAGCCTTGATGAGCATAATAGACTTATTTAAAAAAACATTACAAGTCTTACTGATCCCAAACTTTTGAACGGTAGTGTATGTGTGAATATTATATCAAACTGAGCTCAACACAGAATAACAAACGTTTTAAATTCTGTAACAGTACTTACTGCCCGGTATTCGACACGGTTTATTCTTCACAAACGTTACAATAATTATTGATTATTTTTAAAATTCCCTCAAAAGTCAAAAGGTCGTTCAAAAGTCAAATAATTTTCACCACAAAGTCACAGCGGTGGACAACGCGGCAGTCCAGATCGATGATAAAACGTGGACTTCTCTGGGCGGTAGTTTAAAAGGCACATCCGATACAAAGTGGATTGTCCGGGTTTTACTTTTGCGAGTCGCCGACACGTCAATAAAGCGGATAGTTTAACTTTCAAGTACATTTTTGGCGTTTTTCTTTGGCAGGTTCATTCGGTTCATTCACGTAGTGGTAGTCAGAACGTGAGAATGTGAGACTTAACGTATTTCTCACACGGTTTGAATGAAATCGGAGTTATTGTTAGCCGTTGTCCGTGAAAAGAACGATTGTAAACAGAAATGAGTAAAAATATAAATAATTTAGGAGTTTTGCACAATAAAGTAACCACTTACTTCATTTAAAAGTATTAAACAGCAATTAGTTAACAAACTAAAGACAATTGTCTTACCTTTCAGTTGCGTGTTCTCGTCGGGTGCAGCGGCTAAGGCACTGAATGAATGGCACAGTATAAAACATAACAAGCAAAGTGCAATTCTTATTGATTTTTCTACCATAATGTTCAGGGCTTCAAAATAGTTTCGTTGTTCTTTTGACAAACTGGAGTAGGCTAACTGAGGAAGTTTTACGTATTAATCCTTCACTAAGAGGTGTCAGGCAAGTGTATGAACCTGTCTCAGGTTGCTCATTAGAGTTTTAAATAGCTTTTTTTAGTCATCTGACCATCGGCAGATATCTACGACGAAATTCTTTCTTTCTAATTGGTCAAGCCCCTGGAACTACGTTAGAGGGCGTGGCATATATACGTTTGAATGAGTTGTAGAAGCCTGGCACAATTCTCACGCTAATGTTAACCCTATGCTCGCCGCGCTCGAGCACGCTGACGCACGGAGCATCCCAAAGGTTAACGAGCCTGCAGCAGTGCACATGACTGTGTTTGTTTACAAATACACAAACATGGGGTGTTTGTGTGTTAACGTTGCGAACACATGGGTCTTTTGGGGTCACTGTTGTTCACATTTTACAATGTAGGGTAGATGGGGCTCCTTAGGTTTTGTAGCCTATAAATTATTGCTTTATTGTCTTTACTTTTTTTAACTCAAAAATTATAACAGGAACTAAATTCCCCTAATAAAAATACAGTTCATTTTGAGAAGATGATATAGCCAATAGTATTTCATCTTTTCAAATAAAACAAGTGTTCCCATTATGGGAATGGGACACTATTGGATCTTCTTTATGCACCAAGAGCTTGTAACACTCCAAAGAGAAAGGAAAAATTTAAATTGCATCA